CCAAGGTTGTCTTGAAGATACCTTTCGAGTTATGGAAAGGATGGAAACCTATTTTAAATCATTTACAGGTTTGGGGATGTCCAACTGAAGTGAGGGTTTATAATCCAGAGCTAAAAAAGTTGGATGAAAGAACAATAAGCGCTTATTTTATAGGTTATGTAGTTAACTCTAAGGGATTTAGGTTTTATTGTCCTTCTCATTCTCCTAAAATTGTTGAGGCTAGAAATGCTAAATTTCTTGAGGAACATGAAGAAAGTGGGAGTGGTTTGACTCAAAGGGTGGAATTGTAAGAAATAAGGGAACCACCTGTGGTACCTTTATATATTGGGAACTTGAATGTTGCTCAGAAAACTTTTCATGAATTATCTGAACAACAACAAGTTCAAGATCCACCACCACTTGAGGAGCCACATAAAGATCAACCTGCTTTACCTGAACCCACTGAAGAAGTGTCTGAACAAGTGGGGGTGATAAAATCCTCAAGATTTCGAAAATAAGCAATTTCTAGCGACTATGTTGTATATATCCAAGAGTCTGATTATCATATTGGACTAAAAGATGATCCATGCTCGTTTTCACAAGCCATGAGTAGAGAAACCTCCACACTTTGGTATGATGCCATGAAACAAGAGTTAGAATCTATGGCTAAGAACAAAGTCTGGGATCTCGTCGAATTACCAAAAGGATCCTCTACCATAGGTTCCAAGTGGGTCTTTAAAACTAAAAGAGACTCATCTGGTAATATCGAACGATATAAAGCCAGACTTGTAGCTAAGAGTTTTACTCAAAGGGAAGGCATTGATTACCATGAAACCTTCCCTCCAGTATCAAAGAAGGATTCATTGAGAATAATCATGGCATTAATAGCTCATTTTGATTTAGAGTTACATCAAATGGATGTGAAAACAACTTTCCTGAATGGAGATCTTGAAGAGGAGGTATACATGCATCAGCCTAAAGGATTTTGTGATAAGGACAAAAGTCATTGTGTTTGCAAGTTGAATAAATTCATTTATGGTCTAAAGTAGGCTTTCTGCCAATGGTATATTAAATTTTATAATGTTGTTTCTTCATTTGGATTTACGGAGAACATCATTGATCAGTGTATATACCTTAAGATAAGTGAGAGCAAATATATTTTTCTAGTCCTATATATGGATGATATTTTCCTTGCAAGTAGTGATTTGGGAATGTTGCATGAGACTAAACAGTTCCTTATACAGAATTTTGAGATAAAGGATATAGGTGAAGCCTCTTATGTCTGTCTCAAAAGGCCTACATTGAAAGAATTCTGGAAAGATTTGGGATGAAAAACTGTTCACCCATAGCAGCACCCATAATTAAAGGTGACATATTCTCTTTGAATCAATGTCCACAAAATGCATTGGAAAAGGAGCAAATGAAAGACATTCCCTATGCTTCGCTTGTTGGGAGCCTTATGTATGCACAGGTCTGTACTAGACCTGATATTGCTTTTGCGGTAGGAATGCTTGGCAGATATCAAAGTAACCCTGGTCTTGACCATTAGAAAGCTAGTAAAAGGGTCTTGAGATATTTACAAAGAACCAAGGATTTTAAGCTTACACACAAATACTCTGACTCATTGGAGGTGATTAGATATTCAGACTCTGATTTAGGTGGATGCAAAGACACTGGTAAATCCACTTCAGGATACATTTTCCTTCTTGCTGGAGGTGTTGTGTCTTGGAGAAGTGTCAAGCAGACCATTGTTGCAACATCTACAATGGAAGCTAAATTTATAGCATGCTATGAAGCTACATCACAGGAGTTATGGTTGAAAAATATTATTTTCGGTCTTAGGATTGTCGATTCCATTTCAAGGCCATTAAGAATCTTCTGTGACAATTCAGCTGCAGTATTTTTTTCTAAGAATAATAAAAGTAGCAGCCGAAGCAAGCACATCGACATAAAGTACTTGATGGTTAGAGACTATGTGAAGAAGCAAGATGTAAGTTTTGAGCATATTAGTACTACTTTGATGATTGCTAATCCTATGACTAAAAGTTTGTCGGCTAATATTTTCAAGGATCATGTAACCCATATGGGTCTTATTAGCTCAATTTAGCCTTGTTTTGTTCTCTAACAGTTTGTCTAGACATTATGTTCGTTTTGATATACATGACAGTGCACACTTTGGTTTTTCATGTATTATTTTGTGATCATTGGATTAAAGTTGGACTCTGAATGACTTATATTAAGTTCATTCATAAAGTGGTTGACACTTTATTAGAACATATTGTACATTGTAATACATGAAAGGAATTGTTTGTTTAAGAGTATAACCGCCATGATTCATGTAATGATATGTTTTAGTTAAAGTGAATGTTGCATAACTTTTAGTTGAGTGATAAAGTCTATGGCCATATTATATGTTTATCTCTCATAAAGGATTATCTGATTTTAATATGTGGGCCAAGTGGGAGAATGTTAGAAAAGAGACTTTTAGTGTGGCTCACATATAAGGTAATAAATTATTTACCTTGTCTCCCAAAGGAAATAATTTATCAGATAATATTCTGTAATTATGCATATATGGTAATTTTTTTGATGGAAATAAACTATCATATATTAGTAGTCTCTAGGGCAATTATAATTTAAAAAGAAGTCCCTAGGGCTAAAGTATTTGTCTAAGAGTCTCTAGCCTACCTATAAATACGCTCGTGACTCCATCAGTTTAGCATCATACGAGAAGCACAGGCTAGAAGACTTTAAGTTTTCTGTCAAAGTTCTTTAATGGTAATACCCCACATCATTTGAACAACCATGGCTGAAGGTACGCTCCTTGTATAATTTCCGTTGCGTTTGCTCTGTATTTGTATTAGAAATTCAACAAATCATCCATGGCGTTTCGTAAAAGAAAGAGCTATGGGTCATCACCCATGGACTTCTATAGTTCTATGTATACCCAAGTCAGGGTGAACATATATAATTTATCAAAATTAAAGTGTAAATGGATAGTGTAAGCTTTATAAAAGATACTCCCTTCGTTGCAGTTTATGTGAATCTATTTCTTTTTTGATCCGTTCCAAAAAGAATGACTCCTTTCTAAATTTAAAAACAATTTTGTCTAAACTTACAATTCTATCCTTAATGAGAAGCTTTTACAATCACACAAATACTCTGGACCCATTTGTGATTTGTTTAGGACCACAAATTACAAAAGTTTTTATTTTTTTTAAAATTTCGTGCTCAGTCAAACAGGTTCACATAAATTGAAACGGAAGGAGTAGAATTTTTGGAAAACCATGAAAATAACGAATTAGAGAAGAATAGCTAGCTAGCGTAGAATTAGAGTCAGAAGCATTTCTTCTATGAGAAAATACGCTTCTTGGGATTAACTGAAGATAGGTTTGGAAGTTGTTGGGTCCGCTGAAATGGAGGAAGAGGAATAGTAGAATCTCTGCCTTTGAATTTTGTGGTGGACAGATGGCTTTAATCTATAGGTTTATTTATAATTACCGGAGGATGGGATACTGGAACGAATCCAGACCCTTAGATTACTAACTTCTCAAATTCCTCATGTTTTGATAGAAACGAAGAAATATGAGTTGATAATGACTGGTTGTAGTTTACTCCCTCCTTTGTTTTTATCTTTTTATTTTGATCCAAAATAAGTATTCATTTACATAATCAAGAAGGAATTAATTTTATTTTTTCAAAAATTACCCTTATTTACATATTCCAATGTGTCAAGATAAGAATTAATTAAGGTTAATTTAGTAATATATCTTTTTTTCTCTAGGAGTTCGTATTTCTTTAATGGGTGTGCCAAAGGTAAAATGGTCATTTATTGTGGACCGAAGGAAGTATCATTTTAGTTGACATAAATTACACAATTGCATAAATATTGAAACGTAAGGGGGGTATATTTATATGAAGGTAAATGGCCTCTCAATTTTATTGAATGTTTATTTACATATTTGTACAAAAATATTTTTGAAGTAATGTATGGTTGAAGGGCAATAATGTCACTTAATTTTTTATGGATAAATTTGTAAATTAACTTTTAACATTGGGGCTTCCCACTTATAATATAGTATGATATGATAATATTTTTAAAGTAATGTGTGGTTGAAGAGCAATAATGTCACTTAGTTTTTATGGATAAATTTGTAAATTAACTTTTAACATTGGGGGCTTCCCACTAATAATATAGTATGATGATATGATGCATGCAACTTGTTAGTAGATTATGGTATACTTGGAGAGTGTCGGACTGATGTACAATCATCATGCATAGACATTTTAGACTCATGTATAATGCTATTTGAGAATTGATGTGAAATTGGGTCTTATCATGCCTAGACACTACATTCATGTGGAAGTATTCGGGTTAAAGCTATTTGGTGCAGATCTATTTTATATGTGTATTTGGAGCATTTGTATATGCTTTGACCTAGTTACTTAGAAAAGCATGTTTATTACCTTTTTCTTGATTGAGCACTTTATTATTGATATCCGTTGTTTCTTGGTTATTTTTTTGTTATTGTATATGCCTATGACTGCACAGGTTATATAAACTGAGTATCTTTTGACTAAGCCTCACAACTATTTCGCAAGGATTAATGTTGATACTTAGTGAATACATGAGGTCAATTATACTCATACTACACTCTGCACCTTCCATATATATTTTGGAGTCAATGTTGTGAAAGTAGAAAGCTAACATTGAAGATGTACCAACATTCCAGTTACAAACTATCATTTTGTACATGGTAGTTTAAGACTTATAATTCTATTTATGCATATTCCAAACAACTGATGTATTTTCTTCACACCAACGTTGTACTTCTTAATCTTAATGACTCATGAATTGTACTACCAGTTCTTGAGAATAGTTTGTATTAATCTCTGCGTTCTTATGTACTATATATTTGACAATCTTTAGTTCGAGCTGTGATTGGCTTACCTAGCAGGTTGGGTTAGATGCAATCACAACTTGGTGGCATTTGAATCGTGACAAACAGTGATGCAGGAAGTTCCGTCACAACCAGAGGGAAATTCTGATAATGACAAATCTCAAAGCCAGATTCGAAGTTGTTTCTCTATCAAGCTATAATCATCGTATAATCAATGAAAATGAATTGGACTAGCAGCATGCCAAAATCCAGAACCTCTACAATGAAGAAAGCCATGCTTTGGGAAGCTCATCAGGTACAAGTTTCATGACAATCACTAAATGATAAGTCTGTCTCACTATAGAAGCTTATCTAATTGAGCTTCCAAATCCTGTATCGAGACCATCTTGACAAGAAGGTCTTGTCTATCCTCTGGTGTATATTCTTTTTTCAGAAGGGATAGCACTTGAACGTGTGCTTCCAATATATTAGTCCTGCACATATATGAAAAAGGATTTAGGGGTTCAGAATCCTTTCAATGATACAAAGTACAAAATAAGAAACTGCATATTATTACATTTTTGCAATACAATGCATATGACCTTATTCTCTGAATTTAAATTAATGAGTGAGTTTGTTTTTATAATTCTGTAATAATTAGATAATTCTTGTAGAAAGCCATCATTTTCAGCTAAAGCTTCTGCGCACAGGCTGTACTTTTTTGTGACCATAAAATACATCTTGAAAAGGAAACCATAGACTGGAATTTCAACAAGTTGTCTCTCTTTAGGGAAGAAGTTTTCAGCAACAAGCTCATGCTGGGAATGAACATCAGAAAGGAGAATTGCTTTTATTCATGTCTGAAAGCATAAATTTATCAATCTGATTTTGCAAACTTAAACCCCACTCAGAGAACACATACACACACAAAGAGGGGACAGGATTGGAAGAAGAGAAAGAAAGTTCAACCCAATTGAAAAAGGGGAAGCAAAAAAGGAATACAGACGCTCTCAATTCGATTTCCACTGAAAGTGTCAAGATTTACAAGTTTAGCGAATTAAACAAGTTTTGTAATAGATGTAACTGCACAAGAGATCTTACTTAATGGGTTTGAAAAGTATAGCACGTGTCGATGAATTCTGCAGATAGAGCTTCATTTTGGCCAATATCCTAGGCAAATCTTCATTTATTGCGGTGCCGACCTGTGTCAAATAAATTGATCAGCATGTTTATTGAAAAAGAGGGGAAATCTGATTGAATAACAAAAATCAACAGGCATGATGTTTGCTGATTAAAAAAAGACAGTAGGAAGTTGATTTGTTTGGTTATGTTGGTTGATTCAGGCACTTGTGTAAGACAGTGTTAAGGACTTTTCTTTAATTCAACAAAAGATAAGGCAAAGTCTATCTGTTTACCTTCTGAAGAAGCTCAGCGATCTTTTCTGGCGAAGCAAAAGCATGATCCTTGAGTGGCTTTGCAATCCCAGACACCGGTTTTTGATTTTGACTACCAGATAATGCAACTTTAACAGCTGTAACCTTAAGACATTTCATACCGAATAGTTAAAATCTTAAGATGATTCATAAGGAAATGAACAATATCTTTGCAACCAGAAAAAGGGAAATGAACAAATCTGCTAGGTCGTAAAAATATCAGATTTCGACTCTAACCACTTAGGTTCACAACCGGTTCAAACCTCTGACAATGGGTCCTACTACTATTTCCGATCCTACCCATTTTTAGAAAGACCCAATCAAGCAAGTTTTCAAGAATTTCTTCAATGTGCTCATCTGACCGTATGAAATGAGCTCAAGCATCTTAGGTTTTAGAGAAAAGTACTAGGAACTCCTCACTACACATTTTATAACACATTCATCATGTTTGTAGGGTTAGAAGTTCAATTCAAGCTAGCACTTTGAAAAAATTCAACAAGATTCGAAGGCTTTCATCTTTTGATGCAATTCTTCCCATTTACAAGCAGTTCTTAAAATTCTCCAGATAATCATAAATCTTCTTTTCTTTCTGGAGAAAACGAGATGTAATCACAAACAACACTTATTCAAAGTAATCAAATTTTCACTAGTTTGATAGTTTCCAAATAAATTTTGCTCATAGGCAGTTAGGGCATTCAGAGATTCCCTTTACGTTTCGAAAATATACATAACTTACTGGCCAAACTTTGCCATAGTGGTTGATGGAGTTTTCTCCATACCATTAGGTCAAGAGTTCAAGGCTGGTACGTAGCAAACAAAAAAAGAAAAAAAAATATACATAACTTCTAATACATTTTATTTCTGTGTGCATAATATCGGCATGAAATGAGTTTAAATGGAATAACATACTCAGTGGGGATTCACATAGCCGACCCCAACTTGTTTGGGACTAAGGCATAGTAGTTGTTGTTGCAGTTAGGGCATGCAATTGGGACTGATATTAGTAAAATTACACTTTTCTCCTCTGTATTAGCTATTAGGAAGGTAAGAAGAACATGGGGAGAGACAGTCCATCCACGACACATAATCTTTCTAAGTTTGACACCTCTGTCCTACCCCCAGCAGCCTGGAGGCAGTTAACTGGACAAAGTGTTGCGTTTTCTTATAAAACAGCCTACAAAGCTACAACTGTTTTAAATGGAAGTTGTAAAACAAAAAAGAGACAAGTAATACCTCTCAAACTCTAGTTTCAAAGGTATTGACAGCCGGTAAGTTACTATATCAAAATTAATCACAAAAAGATGCAGGTACATAAATTAGATAGAAATGCATGAAAGAAGTTAAAAGTATACAAGGAGGAGGCAGCTTCTGAGCACTTGAAAGTTAATGAGAACTCGATTAAATATCTATAACTAGTGCAATGATTACATTTACAATGAAAGAGATACGTGGGAAGGAGAAAATGTTCTTTTATCTGGAGAAGAAAATGTACTCTGCCAGAAATCATTAATTATTGAAAGAGCAAAGTTGAAAATGTTGAGAGACTGCTCTGTAAATAAAGAAAAAAAAGACGAAAATGGAAAACATAACTAACCTTTGTCACGAAAGAAAGCAATGGTTCCACGACCAACTTAGTCACTGACATGATGAACTCCTCACATGTAGCTTTCAGGCTTTTCTCCAGTTCCTGTATTTAAAGAAATTTTTTTTACCATAAATTAAACGGAAAAGGGTCAAATATATTACTATTGAAAAAGGTTTTAAAATAACCCCCGTAATACTATTTGGCCATCTCAGCCCCTACCGTTATACTATCACTCAAATACACCTCTCAATTGGACAGATTGCCACATGTAATCACAAAATTAAAATGACTCATCCCTTTTTTTACCCGCTTCATTTAACCTCTATCCATAACCCGACCCACAACACTTTGAAAGCTGTTAAAAGCTCAAGCAAGAACATCTATCTTTAATGAGATCAACCAATCATGCAGAAACTGGCATACTTCCAGAATACTTGTTTCCACTAAGATTCAATATGCTTAAATTGGTCAAACCCATTAATTCCTCAGGCAAGCTTCCACAGAGACCATTTCCTCCAAAGTTCAAATTTTCAAGATTAGTCAAATTTCTAAACTAGAAGGACTGGAGACAAAATCTTAAAGCTTCTAAGTTCACCTAAAAATATAGGAATATCCCCGTTATTCGATTCCCTTCAAGATCAAGAACCTTCAAGTTACTGCACTTCGTAATCTCAAACGGAAGTGCACCTCCAAATAAACTATTCTCCATTCTCATTTTCTCCAATCTCCACAAATTCCCAATATCACTTGGGACTTCATCAGTGAACAAATTCCACGACAAATCCAAGGACGTTAACGCCGAATTATTCATCAAAATCAAAGTAAATTCACCTTTCATTTGATTATGTTGAAGATCCAAAATTTGCAAGGAACTAAAACAATTTGACTCCTCTTTTTTAACAATATTAGTGAACTCATTAAACCCAACTGAACAATCCTAAGAGGAGTATAAATTAAAATATTGCAGAACAATGAAGCTGGCAGCATGTACTATTAAGATTATTTGAACTCTTGTGTTATTAGGATACTGGATCCAGCCGGCCAAAGTTTGGTGAATGCTGAAGGGTTTGCAAGGATTCGATTTCCCGAGAGGCGGATTTGTAATCAGTAGCTTTCTTGTAAGGAGATGGTGACGGAGTCGGAACGGCTGTGAACTTTGTAGACGTCGGAATATCCACCGATGCCGATTCGATTGAGGATTTGGTATTTTGTTGTGATTTCTTTTCGGGTATGGATGCTCTAGCTCTTTGATGATGGTCCAAAGTTTTTGTTTTTTGTTTGTTTCTCTTTTTCTTTAATGAAGAATAATGAAGCTGGTAAAAGGGGGCGACTTTGGGTCATGGGCAGAGGTTAAATGAAGCGGGTAAAAAAAAGGGGATGGGTCATTTTAATTTTGTGATGACACGTGGCAGTCCGTTCAATTGAGGGGTATATTTGAGTGATAGTATAACGGTAGGGGCTGAGATGACCAAATAGTATAACGGAGGGTATTTTTAAACCTTTTTCGATAGTACAGGGATATATTTGACCCTTTTCCGTAAATTAAACTTCCACAAAATTTGTATTCATCATTTATATAGCCATTTATTCGACCCTGCCCCAACTTTTTCCACGGATGAGGGTTGATAATGTCATATCTTTCCATGTAATTGTTGAAACCATTGTTTCAGAGGAAAGAAAGAGGGCTAGAGAAGGTGATAGTGATTGTTTATACAGAAGAGTCAAACTAAATGCATGAAGATTAATCCTTCTTAATGAGATGAGAGGGACAAATAACTACAATCCATATCCATCGATACTAAAAGTCACTCTTGTTTTTGCAGAACCAAAACAACACTTGTGTGACCCGATAGCAAGCTACCGTAGTGGACTCTCCCCCTTAAAAAATTGAGCTACATCATGTGAACTGATGGCCCACATATCAGATATTAAACTGATAAGAACAGATACTACACTTGATCTTAGCCAAAAGGCCAAGAAAGGTATATACTAAAAGTCACTCAAGTGAAAACTGCTGAAAACTAACTGGAGCAGATACCTTCTTGGCATCAATTTGACTTTCCAAAACTCGTGGAGATAAATTTCTAGCTAATGAAGTTGATCTTGACCAGTCAAAGATTGACGCCTGACCCCTTAGAATCCGCCTGAGATGCTCCTGGAAAATTATAACAAATATACAAGAAAGTTTCAGAATCTAACAGTCAGTCAAACATTAATCTAAAGCTAACAGATTGGTGCACATGTAGCATGAGAATTGAAGGCTTAAACTGATGGTCCATTCTACTGCAGAATAGAAGACGGTGAATGGCTTTGAAAGGAAATTAGACAATCTTATTTTCTTTGATACCGAGAAATCCCCGAGGGTCAGTGACGTAGGGTTTGAAGCTCGGAGGATAATGGGCCTGCCCTCTATCCTTCTCTACTTAAATATCAGGCTTTTGTTTGCGGCAAGGTTTGAACCTGCGATGTGCGCCTAACCCATATCACGCGTTGTGCTTCTCCACTAGACCAAAGCCCCCGGGGCAAGGGATAAGACAATCTTTGCTTCTGTTAGGCTACAATGACCCATTCTCGGACATACTGGGATACCTTAACATGGACTCATGGAAGCCCTTGATGAGTTTCACAATAACGGGGGTTATGAAAGAGCATTCCCTCTGCTTCAATCTTCAAATTTGTTCATACAGGAAGTTCAATGAGTTCAAGACCATTTTCTTCTTGCAAAATTTATACACTTGAATTCCTGCTACTTTCACATTATTCTTTTGCAAAGAATTGTGGCAGAGATCATTCAGCATCTTGGGTGCAGCAGTTGTCCCGCATTCTAAGCTTGTCCTTTGCATCAACTTATGGGTTTTGGTATATTCTAGCAAGAGAATACTTTGTGGAGACTATTAATATTCGGGAATTTTGTGATGCATTTGGCTTGAAAGAAATACGAGAATATTATTGGACAATAATATGTCTCCATCTTATGTATAGGACAGAACAACTCTTTTGGCACACCAGAGCAAGATCTTAGATCTTTACTCAAGCTAGAGTCATTTGGACTGTAGAGATTATTTTTTTCAACTACCAGATCTTCAGGGAAATTGAAGGCACCTCTGTTTGGGACTGGCCTTATCCTACTACCATTTTATCTTTCCCTAAATGTGGTACCTGATAGGAAGGTATTGGACAAGAATATGTCTCCATCTTATGTATAGGACAGAACAACTCTTTTGGCACACCAGAGCAAGATCTTAGATCTTTACTCAAGCTAGAGTCATTTGGACTGTAGAGATTCTTTTTTCAACTACCAGATCTTCAGGGAAATTGAAGGCACCTCTGTTTGGGACTGGCTTTATCCTACTACCATTTTATCTTCCCTAAATGTTGTACCTGATAGGAAGGTATTGGACAAGAATATGTCTCCATCTTATGTATAGGACCAAACAACTCTTTTGGCACACCAGAGCAAGATCTTAGATCTTTACTCAAGCTAGAGTCATTTGGACTGTAGAGATTATTTTTTTCAACTACCAGATCTTCAGGAAAATTGAAGGCACCTCTGTTTGGGACTGGCCTTATCCTACTACCATTTTATCTTTCCCTAAATGTGGTACCTGATAGGAAGGTATTGGACAAGAATATGTCTCCATCTTATGTATAGGACAGAACAACTCTTTTGGCACACCAGAGCAAGATCTTAGATCTTTACTCAAGCTAGAGTCATTTGGACTGTAGAGATTCTTTTTTCAACTACCAGATCTTCAGGGAAATTGAAGGCACCTCTGTTTGGGACTGGCTTTATCCTACTACCATTTTATCTTCCCTAAACGTGGTACCTGATAGGAAGGTATAGAGGTCGAGGATTAGGGTAGTAGAGTAGGTAGTCTAGAGTGTTCAGTAGTATTTGGCACACAGTCTCACTTTCTGTTGGTAGTAGGTTTTTATGACTAATCGTTGTTTTCTTTCATTGTTGATCACATTACTATCTTGTTAGTTTTATTCTGCTTTTATATGGCTTTTTGGTACTGTCCCTTGTCTATATTTTCATTAATGTGGTGCTTATGTTTTCCTGAGCCGAGGGTCTATTGGAAACAGCCTCTCTATCCTCACAAGGTAGGGGTAAGGTCTGCGTACACACTACCCTCCCCAAACCCCACAATGTGGGATAATACTGGGTATGTTGTTGTATATGTGGTACCTGAGAACTATTCATCTACAGCTCTGACATGGTATACATAGAAGTATACCACCGTCTTCCCATGATCCTAGATAGGATCAGAATCTTATACATGGGATAGTTTGTCACTAGAGCATTTGTGCCATCTGACTCAGCCAAAATTTGTGAAGGAAGCAATTTGTAAGTTTGACTCTAAATTAACTAAAATTTTGATCTGAAAAGAATTATGCTTCAAGTTTACTGACAATCAAGGGAAAAATTAACTCTAGTACACAAATGTGTCTGATGCAGCATTTGTCCACGAGCAGTGTCACCCAGAGTTGCCAAAAGAATTAAATCAGGGAAGTAGTGAAGAAAATAATGATAGGTTCAAACTTGAAAAAGGAGATCAAACGCGTTAGTGTAATTCACTGAAGTCAACTTTGCATTTCTTCTTAATTCCATAAGAGATGACTTCAGTCTAATATTGCATAGTGGAACGAGCAAACTCTACCTTATAACAAAATAAAACAATTTAATAGCATTGTCTCTCTCATTCAAGATAATGTAATTATCAAAGGAAAATACATTTGCAGCAGAGAAGTGATGGAACCTGAAGAAATGAATACCAACATAAATAGTAGATTCTCAATACGCACCAGTAAATGCGAAAAATCAAGCTCCTTGTGTGTGACTGAAAATTCTATGTCAAATGGGGCAATCTGGAAAGCATCTAAAGTTAGAAACCTGCAGTTATGCCAAGGAACTAGGAATTTCAAAAGCAAGTAAGAGAAACCTGCTCTCTTAGGATGAGTAGGTGCTTTATCAGGAAAAGTTGTGCATCCATCGATGACGATCTTTTGCCAATAAGTTTGCTAGCTTTCTGAAGGAATTTAAAAGTTTAGCAATAACCAACAGCATATTGACAAAAAATGACGAATACAGAATTACAAATTACAAAAGCATAATCAGCGGAACAGTCAAACACATGAACTTCAATAAAAGAAACTTACTTGGATGGATAAAGAGCAGAACTCTACAGCTTCCTGAGAAAGAAAAATAGGAATTAAGGATCCAGAAACATCTAGCTATAATTCGAAGGGGCAGTGGTAGCAAAAGTAACCGCTTACCTGGGCTAATCCAGTAAAAACAGCTGATTCTAGAGAACAGTACAGTTTTGATAGACATGAGATGGTTTTCTCCAATGGTGGATACCAGGTTCCGGACACATCTGGGTTTTGTTCAGTCTGCACCAAATTTAAAATAAGGAAAAGCAGAGAATATGGTGCAAAATAGCAAAAAAGTAAGGAGACACAGAATATAGTGCAAAATCGCAGAAAAGCATGTTTAACAGCAAAGAGGCAGCGAAAGAATATCTGCAAAAAACACTTTTTACATAAATCAACATACTTTCTTCTAAAACGTTTTTTTATATTTATATACGCCAAGAAGTTGATAGAAAAAATAGTTTAGTACATGCATGTATGAGGACTCCCAAGATTCAAGCCTCCTCATATAAAGTAGCAACTCAAAATCAAGAAAAAAAAAATCCTGTTCTCATCACATCAAGATGCATAGCTACAATCATAGTTGAAATGCCCAGATCTTTGAGAAGGTTCTTAACCCTCAAGCTATTCAAAATTACCAACAAAAAGCTCTATACTAAAATCCTAAACTCTCATCTTAAAATAAAGAAAACAAATAATAAAGAAAATAATCTTAAATTACAAATTCCATGAGACCTCTTATTTTCAATTTTCACACCTTGAAACTTCAATATATTTTGCTTCGCTGTGCAGTAAACGTCATAAAACTAGAATCACAGGTCAAGAACGGTTACCTCAGTCTTAAGCAAAGAACCGTAATAGGAAAATATATCAAACTACAACCTCCAAAAAAGAATGCAAACTTCTCCACCAAAAAATTACAAAGAAAAAAGGGATAAAGATAAAAATAAAAGCCATCCTAGCTCGTACTTCCTTTAAAGATATAGGTTACAGAAGTCAACTGAATATCCGTCACAGGACAAAGTGCTTGGCACTTACAGATGGTGAATTTAGTTCTGCTGACACAGATTGCTCCAACTTTTTAGGGTAATCCAAATCCTCGTCTGAAGGAAGGTAGTTGGCAATCTGAAAACAAAGCGGGGAAAGAAGGCATGATCACATTATTTGCAGACCAGTAGTTGCTTGTGAAAAAGTTCAAGCATATAGAAAGCAAACATAAATATGCACTTCTTAGTCCAGTTATCCCAGCTTATATGGCCTAATCTCCTTCTCTTATCAATCCCTACTTATGATATTCCCCTAATAAAAAATGTTTTCCATCTCCAATCAAATCTATTGAAACTCATATCACAACAACAGTACGAACTAGTTGGCGACAGCTGTTAACCATGTTTCCCGTTTGAACTCATCTCAAGCTAACGTTATAAAACATTTGAAACTCATACCACTTTGCATTATTTAATTCAAAAAAATGACGCACAGAGTAGAAATGAAAGTATGGCAGGAAGGAGAAAAGATTAGACTGGGAACCGAATAAACTCCGAACAAATATCAAATACGACAGTAGCAAAAATAAGGAAAGCACGCAAATTTTCGTCATAATGATGGATAGGGCTCGTTTTCCACAAATTTGTAATGAGTGAGTAATGACAAAGAGTTGCAAGGCCTTTCGCTGGGATGATCTCCTTTCTTTGGGATTTTGGGTTGCATATTTCACTGTACACGGAATGTTTTGTGTCTTTGTACCGAGGTCGCACGACCTTGGTGTCTATTTATAAAGGCAGAATACATTGATGGTTCCCTAAACCTAAAGTTGCCCATTATTTTCACTTAGCTACCTCAACCGAGACTTGTACCTATTAGATACTCTCACTTCACTCATTATGTGGCACGTGAGAAGCTCAAAATCCCATTTTTCTTTTAATTTTATTTGTTAAAACTACTTTTACAGAACCACAATATACAATCCTACCACCACTGCTCCAGCACTGTCGCCCCTACAAAAATCCTGCCACCATTTTTGTTTAATCTTCCTCCTCCTTCGATTTTGTACTGCTCCCAGATTGAGATTTTCAGTAATTACAAACTAATTTTCAGGAAGAGCAAGATAAAAAATGATATAGAAACAGACCGAATTAGTGACCTAGAAACATGAATCTACGCAAATCAAGAAAATCCCTCATTTTCACTTATGGTCAATTTGTTCCAAGGTACTATTTATCACATCGATGGAAAATAGTGCAGTTAAGAGAGCAATAAATTGAAAAAGTAAACTATTGGACAACAGTATATACCATGAGATACAACTGGTTATGTTTGAGTATGAATGAATATTCCACTTTTAACCAAAATATATGCACCACGAAAAAACGGGCAAATTTATCCAGTAACTTATTTTGCCACTATCCATCTATCAATGAGGGTGCTGATTAAGTGGAGAAATCGAGGGAAAAGAACAAGAAAGAGATTAAAGCAAGTGGCAAAATTATAACAGCAAAGTTTAGCATAATATGATCCCATATCCAAGTAACACAAATAAGCTGCCATACAGTATTTAAATACAATGCCCAAGCAATACTTTGGATAGTTACCTCATCACGGATATAGGTGCGAGCACGAAAAGTTAATCGTTCATGGACATCTGCTAGAATCCTGTCCAGAGTTGGACGCAGCCCAGCCAATGATTCACCCCGTCTGCTCAGTTGTTCTCCGAGAACTTCAACTTTAAGGATATCAACCAGTTCACAAAGAACATCCAGGTTTGTTTCGTGAATAAGTTTAGGGCGCAATGTATCATAAAGGAAAGTGCACCTGCAGTAATAGGACCCAAAGGTTCACATCGGAGGTAACACATAAAGCTCAAGTTTAATGATAAAAAAAATAAAGCTCAAGTATTAGCAGCTTCAGTGGCATATAAATAATATAACTAGAAATCCTCGGGTCAATACTTCATTAAACTGTTGTAACTGGACCAACCAAGAGATGGGTCAGGCTCAGGAGCACGTAAATTTAGATGCTATGCATAGAAGATTCATATCATGAGACTTGGGGACAATATCCTGACACTTGCATTCTCAAACATTTTCAAAATTTCATGCCAAAAGGAAATGACAGTCCAGCAAGTCCAGATGATACAAAATGGAGAAGTTTTTTTGGGATTTGAGTTTGACAAGGAACTTTCAGGACTGGGAAGTGGCAGAATTCCAAAACCTAGTTGAGTTGCTTCACACACAAGGAACACCACAAGCTAACCACGACGTATAGAAGTGGGGGGCAGAAAATAACGGGGTATTTTCTGTTAAATCATTTTATCAGAAGCTTCTGGTTAGGGAGGAGGTTGAATTTCCACATAGAACTCCATCCCTAAGGTTCCAAGAAAGATGTGCTTCTTCACTAGGTTAAACATAAATATAGCTTGAGAATGCACGAGGCAGAGATACCTGATTGTGTATCTCTTGTTAATAGAAGGGAGCAAAGAAAAAAGTAAAGTTAGCAAGTGCAACCCAATAACATGTTCCACTACTTTTTTTTATATTAAGGTGAATAACATGTTCCACTACTTAAACTTACCAAGATTTAAAATGATAAATCTGACATTAGATGAATTATCAATAACGGTAACTCTTTGCCATTGATATTATCTAATTAACTTATCCAGAAAGACTAAAAAAATGATGAAGATTAAATCTAGGTCTAATTTCAATGGATAAAAAAGAGCACAGCTTTGTTTCTCTCTGCCCACACAATCAGGAAGGATGTAAAAACAAGTTAATGTAAAAATATCCAGAGAAAGAAAAAGGAAATTGATGAACCAAAAGAAAGGTGCAGGTTTAAGGGATATCCCATATCCACCCACGGGGAGTGATTTTAAATCTCAGTAAAGAGGTAATTCACATGTAGTAATTGATAGAATTTGGTTTCCTTACCCACCTACATGATTTTAATTTTCCAGGTACAGGAAACTACTTCCCCACCTAACCGAAAAATTCCCGAAGGCCAGCTAGCATACAGTTCGAAACTCGGTGGATAATGTCAGGCCCCTCTACCTTTTCTCCACTTAAATAAATGCCTTCACACCTTTTGAGTTAAGCCTTATATATGAAGGACCTGGTTTTCCTTTGGAGTAACTATAACTTTCACAAGTGACCTCCACATATGTATCACGAAGATTTAAGGACACAAAAACGCAGTTGAAGCAACCTACAAATCTAAACCAGATGAGAAATCTGTCGCAGCTCTTTCTAAGGAATAGATAAGCGTAGTTTCCATGGGAAGGCTTCAAGTTCCTAACTAGGAACTAATCTTGTGCTTGCGGTAAGATCTAAAGTGAAGATCACTAAGCTATTGGGCAGCCTCATAGTTAACACTGATTTTCATTACCGCACAAATAATGTGTCTGGAAACATTTACACCCACTTGATACCAAGAAGGTATGCCCTGTATGCATTGATAGCAACTCTGGCCTAGGTAGGTCTTAGAACAGCACAAGCTACCAAAATGACAAAGCCTTACAGGCGTAAACATTTTGCAATGTTGGCTCTCTTGCTTATAAGCACATGACAGCAATAAAGATGGTCCAACCTCCCTCCCCCCTTCCCCTGCCCACCACAAACAAGACGAGGAAAAAGAGGGAAAAAGAAAAAGCAAATCAGAAAAGAAGCTGGAAAGGAATGAGTAAGCAGCACAAACAGGTCCAAACGCAGAAAGAAACCCACAAGAGAACTTAGGCAACTCACAGAGGATCTACAAGAGGAGTCAAACTTGAAATGTCCTCTGAAGAAGATGGGAAGAAGTGATTGAAGAGTTGATGCTCTAGCTGACACACCTGCATTAAGATATCAAAGATAAAGTATGGAGACTTGTTCATCTCACTTTTACACTAATATTAAATGTCCATGTTAGAATTATAGAGACATGTATGTGTGTGTGTGTGTGTGTGTTTGGCCTTTTTAGTGCTAGCTGAACGTGAAGTAATGGCTTTTGTGCAACGTCGAAAGGGTTCTGATGTAGTGAGATCGTTTGGGTTGTTAGAACCTCTAGCAGATGGTTCGAAATTGATTCTAAAATAACCCATTTCACCAAGTAGTGCTAATTTCTCCCGTACTTGATCGATCGAACTACGATGATTGGAATGAAGATAGACAGACTTCCGTGCGAAAGACAGAACGGCAAAACTTAATATAT